TTACAACAATCCCTGGTACTGCAAGGCAACATCCTGGGGAGAAACATTTCATAGCAGAAGGGAAACTCTCCCCTAGACAGTTTTGCTTCCTTTAGCTACTACAAGCAAAACTCTTCTGTCTCTGTTTTAATCACCAACTGTTATCAAATTCTTAGTATTCTTTTGGCCTCTTTCCTTGGAAATGCAGCGAGTCCTCTGTGGAGTTTGCCTTGGTTCCCCTCTCAGACAGCTGTGCTTAATTCACTGTTCAAGCTCTTGAGTTAATTCTCTCATTAGATCACTTTCCTTCTTCATGGAATGATTATTCCCACAGGAGAAACGAGAAAGAGTAAAACAATATTGTGCTAGTATCTGACACACAGCATCCAGGATGTTTACTTTAAATCGAGTTGCCTGGAATTACTCCAAACCTATGGCTTAAACACAAGAATCCTCTAACCAGTGGAGAACTGCAGTCGTGCATGTTGCACAACACTCACATTTCTCTGGAATTTCTCCAAACTTCCTGCTAGGTGAGCGCGTTCAGAACACAAACCTCTCCACACAAGCAGGTCCGATGACAGAATGCTTTCGTTGCTGGAGCATATTTTAAGGCTAAAGGTTTTTTTATATTATTTTTTATTATTTTGTATCACACAAAAATGAGTTTTCTACCTGATGCTGGAGAAACTCAGCACTAGTTCAAGGTAAAGACTGCAGAACACAACCTCAAAATGTTGCCAGTGCTCTTGAAATCGCAAGCCACAATGTGTGTCTTATTCCCTGGGATGTCACATTCTCTCTGAGGGCTCTTACAGCTCAGACATCCTCCCGGGCGACTGTCCTGGGTACGGCCGATCGCTGGGGAGGCATCACCCCGCTCAGCTGGACCCTGGTGCACTCAACTTGGGGTTCAGTACCCTTGGAGCAAAGCTCTGGGGAGTTGGATACTTGGGAGAGTGTCTCAATACCCCTCCAAGGACTGGTAAACATGTCTGGAGTGACAACTGATAACCAGAAGTTACATTAAAATCACCCTTATTTGAAGGCACAAAAAAGATTTGTACCTGAAGGCACAAAATTTGTGAGGGTAACAAATACACTTGGTGACTAATTACAAAATAGAAAAGTTTACAACAGCTTATAAAGACGAAGGGGAGGGGAAGAACAATCTTGTAACATGGCACTTCAGTGACCTTTAAAATTTCCCTAACTCTTGACAGTTCAGGTGACAAACGGACAGAGACATCACCACTTTGCTGGCGGTGTGAGAACTTGAAGTTTTCACACAAACACCTTTACTCTGGGGCCATCTGTGCAGAAAGACAAGCTTTTGGGGTACGTCTTGCTCTCTGTCTTTGGGTTAATTCCATTTCAGATCTCCATCCTACCTATGCTCACATGCACACAAGCATCAAGATTCATTAACCGAAGCAGGAAGAGTAATAGCTCCTGGGCCTGGCCCTCGCCTGCCCATAGAGATGCTTGGGTAAAGTCTGGACAACGTGTTAAATGACTGTGAAGCCTTTCCACCGAGATGGGAAACGTTCAAACCTTGAAGGGAAGCTTCTTCCCATTAAAAAATACATTTCACATAAACATGTAAACTGACAACAGCTTTATAAAGGCATCTAATTAGAATTAGTGCCTGTGGCTTGCTAAAGGCTTTTCATTGAGAATAAACAACACGGTAGCCTGTCCCACTGGGGTGATAATGGATTATGAACCACTCTCTCTCTGAGAAAAAGCTTCAGAGTAACCAGAAGCGTCTTCTCTTCTGTGTTATGTGGATGTGCAGGAGTTCAACAGCTTCTCTCATCTTACCCCTGCCAGGGTAAGTGCACTAGACTGCACTAGAATTACTCCTGGTCCTCATAAACTCTTGATGGTACCGTACACCTGCAGTCTTGGCCTCCTTGGGAGACATCTGAGCACAAGCTATGAAACTTTGGGAAATGGAACAAAAATGATTGTATCCTACGAAGGCTTGGTCACCAAATTAAAAGCTCTTTTCATTTTTGGTGATGGTCTCCAGCAACAATCAAGTACATTAAAAAACATGACTAGTAACTATGATGAGTAATAAAAGACCAGTTAAAAGACAATTGAAAGGTCGTAACAGATGACTTAGCACAGAAGGCAGGGTGCAGAGACACACTACAGTTTGGAATGGGAAGCAAAGATTACCAACCTGCTGGAATTGTGGGGGAGTTTGGCCTGACACGGTTTGATTGACTGTGATGGAAAGCAGGTCTCTGGGGAGCTACTTTCAAAACATTCCATGGGGGTTGAAAACCAAGAAATAGCCAATGCCTCATTTTTGTGTCTCTTCTGCAAGACAGAAATTCAGCAACCAAGCATCTCACGGATCACCTGGGGCTTGACTAGGAAGTCAGATGGATCCCCAAAATCAGGTGCAAGGGACATGCTTCCACAAGTCATAACTCTCTTCTCAGTGCAAGTCACAGGGCATTGGGGTTGTCCTGTATATGGAGAGGCCCAATCAGAAGCAGAAAAACAAAACTGCATTTTCAAATTGATTTCTACAGGTTCCTTGAGACTAAAAACACTGTCTTTATGAACAGGGAAAAAAAAATCTTATCTAGCAAAAATCTTTCCATGATGACAGAGCAGAAGCTTAACATCCACACACTGCAGGATACTTTTTAGCTACTTTTTTTTGTGTGTGTGTGTGTGTGTGTGTGTGTGGTGTTGTTGCGCATTCATGAAGCACCATTCTGTAGAGATAGCACCATCTGCAGGATATGAGACCGGGAGCACAGATGTCTTAGCTCAGAAGGATGTTCCCCAGGCAGCTGGAAAGATTTCCAAAAGATGCCTTCTGCCAGGGAAATCTCAGCCATGGGTCTTTCTGGTATAACACAGGGAGGACTGAGATGCTTCCTGGGGCTCTGACACATCGCAGGGATTCTTCAAGAGAAAGCCTGAATAGCTTGTTTGTCAAATTATTATCTCTGAGTATTGTAATAGCAACACTTTTGTGCAGGCATGGGTGAGGGGACAAATAGAGCAGTGCAGGGCAGGACTTCTTTGTCACCTGTCCCACATGTTGGGCAACACTCAGCTGGATTACTGGCAAATGTCGTGGTAGGAACTTATTAAATTAAAAGAGAAGACATTTTAATTCCTTCACTGCAATGACTTGTCATACTTGGTCTTAGCTAACTGAAATGCTCCTCATTTCACAGTGCAATTTCACAGTGCCAAATAATTTCAGACTTATTCTTGGAAATCGGCACCTTGTTTTGGAAGCTGCACAACACAATAGCATACAGGAGCCCCAACTCCATCTTGCACAGCTGCTGCCCGGTTTTCAAGGAAAAATGCTGAAGCAGTGCCCTCTTCTGGAAACAGAACCATTCAGCCCCCATTAATACATTCACCACAGGCCTTCAGGGCAAATTCAGCAGTCTCAGCAACACCATTCTGTGTCTGTAAATTTGGCACTATGGTGTGAAATCCTAATACTGGCTGAGTGTCTAACAGCTGACATCAGCCTTTGATTGAGCTCTGGCATTTAGGAGAATTCTAAGCCTTTTACTCACAGGCCACTTCCGATGAATAAAATGTCAGCACAAGAGAGGTCTGGTTTCTTTTACAGATTCATCAATGAATAAAATCTCAAAGCATTTATTAGCCTGGCTTAAAATTTATACTGAGCTATATTAGCATGAATCCAACCATGTGTGCTTGCAGAAACCTTATTTATCTATCTAGATCTGTATTTTCTATGGGTATTTTTTTAACATCAGCTTGAAAGGTAATTTTAACATTCTTCTGTCAAGAATGAAATGCTGAATGGGGAAATCCAGAGAGTATCATGATTCAGATTTCTTCTGGAAGCACTTTTGGAAGTTGTTACAATGAAACACAGAATCATGAGAAAAGCCTGGAGGCCGAAGACCATTGTAACTATAAGCAGACATATTTTTCTTTTTCATTCTCCCAGTAAATAGATATGGAATCATTCCAAGAGGCTCTCTGATTAAATTCTGCTTTGCTTGCATGTCACATTGCTGGAATGGTTGTGGAAAACTCACGAATTATTCTTCCCCCCTCCCTCCCCTTCAGAATTACTGGTAGCTTTGCCAGACCTGGAGAATGAAGAAGTATGAGGTGTTCTTCCTTCATTCGGTGCTCAGACATGCAGTGACTCGGTGAATTGAGGTGCTAAAATGGAAATACGCTGTACCTCAGATCAGCACTGCCACCCAGACTCGCTATGGGACTACAGCCTCTGCGGGCAACACCAGCGTTGGGGTGAAGAGAGCTCGTTTTCAGATTGATGCTACAGGGAAAGGTGTGCGGGCTGCCTCCCCGTGCAGTCAGTGCAAGCCCTGAATATCACACTCTTGTTGTTGTTGTTGTTGTTTCCAGCGAAGTATTATACTAATTCTAAAATGCTACCTCATTCCCCCCTCACAAAGTCAGACTAAGGGGGCTACAGACCTCATTTAAGGCTGAGGAACAGTGATCGTGAAGGCAACAGTAAAATGAAGCTACACCCCCTTGCCACCTCTCCCCTCAGCACCAGGATCAGGGTCACTGGAGGAGCCTAGCAGGAGACCAGCTCAACCACACATAAGAAGGCGCCACCTCGCCAGCAGACAGAGGGGACCAGGCAGCGGCACTGCCACCA